CACGATTTCTGAAACGCCCGTGTGATACAAAACTATAAATGGACGAAACTAGAAATCTACTAGAACCTTGAATATTATTACCTGCCTAATAAGTCTCTACTTTGTTATCATAAATAGAAAGTGTGTCTTCCTCTCCTTCAAAATATAGGTAAAAAAAAACACATAACAGTGCGATTCCGAAATGTTCACAGAATATTAAAAACATCAAAGACGACTTCAATAAATAAACATAGAATAACTAAATATTGCTTTTCTCATTTGTATCACCAATTCACAGTACTTGCAAGAAGACACATTGTTTAACTTTGCATTACTAAATGAATAAACTATTCAATTATTCTCAAACTATAAATAGTCACTTCTTCGCATCTTAACTAACCTTGTCAGAATGTTTCTGAAAATCCATAAAGATAATCGATGTTGTGATTTAACTGTTACTAAATTTAATCATGATCGAACAGTTTCTTTAATAAACAAAACAAACTATTTAATTTCATTCATTCGTCCCACAAAAAAATGAGTAAACTTTAGTTTTTTTATAATTACTAAATTGTTCGGCTGATGCGATCGGTGATTAATTATTTCTAATTAACGTCGGTTAAAGAACATTTTCGTCAAACGAACGAAACTAATGGAAATCGTGCGGAAAGTCCGCAAACAGTTTCTATCTTGATTTGGTTGTTTTTTTTTCATCTACGATAATTTAAAGAATCTTGCGAGAAGACTTCAATGCCGAATTAAGCGACGAACCCGAGAGGTTCAACGTCTTCGCATCACAATAATACACGGTATCTGTGCCTGCACACTGAAAGGTTTGAGCGAGAGAAAGAGAGAGAGATTTTCGTTCTTCGGAATAAGTGGAGAATTGGCATGTGAATCGAACGTTATCAACCGAGATTAGGCTTTTAATTCGCTTGCCTCGACAATGGGCGCACAATGGACCTGCTCTGTTTCTACTTATAAGAAGAAAAGTATGCAAGTTCTGTGTGTGTGCGAGTGCAAAAGTATACGTATAGATTTCGTTGCACTGACTAAATGTGCAAAGGAAGGACGAAATAAAACCAGCGAGAATGTTACGAATTCTTCGATTCCCCTCAATAATAATAATAATAATCTCCGTTTAGTTTCTTCCTTCGGGTACGTACTGTAGCCGTGAGTCCCTTCTTCCTCGACGGTATCTTTCGGTCATCGTATTCTCAAACGCACAGCTCAGTCTCAACAACAACAACAACAATATAACAATAACAACAACAATAACAGCAACAAGAAGAACAGCAACAAATAACGATAACAAAACAACGTTTTTTCGGATGATTAGGATGAGGAACACAAGTGGATTGAGTGAGTGTTGTGTAGAAGAAGCATGTGAGAGAGTTTGTTGGATCGAGCCGGATCGAACTTGCACAACCCGTTCCAAAGGTAAACGCGGCGAAACTGAATGTCCGACTGTGGCAAGTGTTTCAGACGGTAACGCCGCCACACGGCGACGAAGTCCACATCGAAACGCACCTGAGATATATATATATATATTTCCACCATCCACCGGACTTGTGTGCACTTATCTCCTCTACCCGAACACTATATACCACACTCACTCTACTACAGCAGGTATACATAGGCACAGAACCCAAAAAGACCCTTGCATTCACGAACGAAAGAAAAAACTGTACCGCCATCTCCAGTCTGAGGAAAATTGGGGAAAAATCAAATTTGAAAAATATATATATATATATACAAAAACAGGTAGCAATTATTTAAAGACCTGTTCCCATTTTTCTTTCCCGGAAACCGACGTATTTAAAATGCTGTTAAACTCGAGGAAAGAAGGAAATTATATAACGATTACTTAATCACATTAACCCATTTCTCATTCTGAACTCATCCCAATTTATAATTTACACTAACAAATGCAAAATAATTACTTATCATTCTTTGTCTACGTTCTACATTTTTTTTAAATCCAGTAAAATAATAACAAAATTCAATAATATTTCATTAAACCAATTTGTAATATTTTAGTAAATACAAAAAAAATTGAAATTTTTCTACTTTCACTTATGTTTATAGAAATAATAAAAAATTTGGTTATTTAATCAATTTTGTATATTAATCTTGGTTAATTCACACAATTATTTCGTAATGATTTCTATACTATTTTTGTAATTTCTAAACCTTTTAAAGAAATTAAATTTAAAAAAATATAGAATTTCGAATATAAAAAGTATTTACTTCATATTCATTTTACCTTTAGTAATCAATTTTAAAAGCATATTATAAAAATAATTAATAAAAATAATAGTTTTTTCAAGTTTTCAAATTGTAATTTAATTATGTTCTATTATATTTATAAATATGCAGAATGTAAATAAAATGCATACGATGCAACTCGAGGAAAGAAGGAAATTATATAACGATTACTTAACCACATTAACTCATTTCACGTTCTGAACTCATCCCAACTTATAATTTACACTAACAAATGCAAAATAATTACTTATCATTTGTGATTCATTCTTTGTCTACGTTTTTTTTTTAAAAGAAGTCAGTAAAATAATCACAAATTTCAAGAATATTTCATTAATTTGATTAAACCAATTTTGATAAAATTCTAATATTTTAGTAAATACAAAAAAAAATTTGAAAATTTTCTACTTTCACTTATGTTTATAGAAATAATTACAAATTTGATTATTTAATCAATTTTATATTAATCTTGGTTAATTCACACAATTATTTCGTAACGATTTCTATACTATTTTTGTAATTTCAAAAACACTGAAAAAAATTAAATTTAACAAAATATACAATTTCGAATATAAAAATATTTACTTCATATTCATTTAAAATAATTAATAAAAGTAATAGTTTTGAAAGTTTTCAAATTGTAATTTAATTATGTTCTATGATATTTATAAATATGCAGAATGCAAATAAAATGCATAAGATTCTAAATGTTTCAAGTCAATTCATTGCATGCACATTTATTGAAAAAACTAATCGATTTTTAATATTCTACTCTATTTTTATTAGCAGAAGAAAATCTGGACGAGAACCCGGAAGCCTTTATAAAAATACCGTTTTTTGACTTGTATATTTTTAGCATCGATTTCGAAATGGGACTAAGACGTTGACGACGATGATGATGATGATGATGGGGATTGGGACTGCCTCTAAGGATTATGCAAGTGATGCATTAATTGGGACATAGTTTGGTGTGTCCTCAAACAGCGCGTGAACGGGTTTTCCTTTCTAATAAATACGCGCGATTAAGAAAATATCGCTGCTGCTGCTGCATGCATACACGTACTATGTGCATATGTATATGCTGCCTCGGCCTCCGCTTGAGATTGAGCCTCATATTTAAAGGGTATAGTGCAAGCTCCCAAGGAATGTTTCATAATTTTGTTTGTTATGATGAAGTTTCCCCAGTTTCGATCTCTAACATTTACACAATATACCTAAAGATGCATTTATTCATCTTATTACTTTGTATACTTAGAATTAAACTGAAGGTGAAAAAAAAACATAAACTAAACGATATGTTGTGAAATCGCACTTTCGTGAATAACAAATGAATTTGCGAGAAACCGTTGTTGTTGGCAAGTATCGAAAATCAGGAGTGCTTTAGCAGCTTTATAAGTATTCCAGAGGACGCGAACGGAGGAAGCCAATCGCGCGGATCCATAAATTTCGCAGTAAAAGAATGTTTACGCCTTCAAGCGCACCTCTCGAATGAACGGAATAAATATATAGGTAAAAAGAGGAAAAGAAAGAAACGTCAACACGATTGCGATTGCCTCTGTGCACTAAATAAAGAAATAAAGCGAGGATAATTTTCCTATTTATTTCCGACGCCGGCGACAAATCCATTTTGGACGTTGTTTACATTGGCGCCGAGGCCTTTTATAAGCTGGAATTAACCCGCAATGTTAAAAAAAAAAACAGTCAGTCCTTCGTTTTATTACTTTTGTACGCAATCGAACGTTTAACCCAAATGGATGTAATAAAAGTAAAGTTAAACATTTTTTATCATGCGCTAATTTGGAGATTTAAAAATGTACGAATCGCTTGTAAACAGATAACATATCTTAACTTAATTGTTAAATATTTGCTTTATTTTCATAAACAAACAGAAACTTCTTATTTGAAGAAGTATCTTAAGTAATCATTGATAAAGAAATGTTATAGTGTGCTATCAAATTTAACTGTTGATTGAAACGCGGTTTGCCAGTATTTTGGACCTGAATAATATCATTATTTTTAGATGTTGCTGCATTTGCTGAAAATGAATTGCATGTATTCTCGGTATAAACTGTGATTCGATTCGATTTTTTGGCAATGAACAATTCGCTCCTTGTATGTTATGCGCGTGCATTCAAAGCTTAATTTTTTTATTCGGAAACTACAGAACCGCACTCTGCGTGACATATGAGGACAAACAAACACCTGTCCGTCGAAGGTGTTCCACTATAACGAATCCTCTAATCAATTTCCCGAACATCCAACCTTCATAGCGCTAATTAAACCTTCCATCCTCGTCTCATTCGCAATGAACATCATTAAAAAATATCTATACAAGTATTGCACGTATAATCAACGATAATTTTCTAAATCCTGCTGCAGCTCATTTGTTTATAATCTGTTAAGTCCTTGCAATCAAGCCTTGGAAGCTTTACAATAATATTTCTGTGAGAGAAATTTGAATTTAATTTAAAACTATAGATTTCTTTAATATCAACAGAAGACTTTTAAACCTTCAAAATCTAACTGTTAAGTATTATTAAAATTTAATAATTATTTTAAGTAACTCTCTCTTGGTACAAGTATAATTATGACAAAATTTATATGCATCCTGTAGTAGAAGTTAGGCAACTTCTTTTACTTGTTATAAACATTAGAAACTAGGTCAGTTACCAAAACGTGTAACTTCAAAATGTATAACTCAATTTGTTAGTATAAATTTGCAGAATCACGTGCAAAACCGTGTGACTGAAACTCACCTTTTTATAACATCCTCCTATTGCGTCTCTGGAAGGTGCAAAGAAAAAAAAATGTATATTTTATGCTTGTTTGAACATCGTTTTTTTTTGTTGTTGTTATATATTTAAACTTACAGCCTTGTAGGTTGGATGATTCCCCTTTGCGGCGTGCTGTCGTGGATCTTCACCTGGTTCGCATCGATGACCTCGCAGTCGTCCACTTGATAACTGAATATCCTGTCCATCAAAGGACTCAACAGCTGCGAAGATCCTCCTCCGAGGATGTCGTCGATATTCGTGTGTCGCGAGATGAACAACGATTGCTTCCTTTTGATGCTGGGAACGTTGTCGTAGGGGCTCAGACGCCCCTCGTCCGGTTCGTCCCTGGGCGTTTCCAGTCCCTCAGGACTAGCCCTATCTCCAAGAGGAATCCCCGGATCGTAATCATCGTCGTTCTGAAGCCACCAGTCGTTTGACTCTTGTTGCTTCTTCGATTGATTCTCTTCCTCTTTTCCTACCGCCAAATTCTCGGTGCTGCTCAACCACCAAGCTCTCTCCCCGGAATCTATATGCCTGATTTTGTATTTTTGCAGGAATTCAGGTTCTTGAGGTGGTTGTTGTTGTTGCTGCTGCTGCTGCGGTGGTGTTGGTTCTGTTTTCTCGCTTTCATCCAGCCACCAATCGCGTTCGCACGAATCGTTCTTGCGTATCTTGTAGATGAGTTTTCCATCCTCCGTTCGTCCATCCTCGCCCATGCTCTTCGCCGGAAACACTTCGACTCCTTCTGGAACCTCGGCCGAATCCTCCAACCACCACGCTCTTTCCCCAGACTCCTGATGCCTCAACAGTTTCATTCTCTGCTTGCTACCCTTGCTGCTGATGTTATCGTCGGTTTCCTCCAACCACCAAGCCCTTTCCCCAGACTCTATCTTGCTGATTAACCTTCTGGTGGGTGGCTCCTCCGAACTACTCTTCGGCAAATCTGAAATATTCTTATCAGTACTATCCGAACTGTCCTGTTTAGTCTTAAAGAAATTGGTGACTGGGGCCAGCGCCCTCCTAAGGAATGATTTCGCCTCGCTCTCCGATTTCACTCTCGGACTTAACGGCGGTTTCAGTGAATCATCACCGGTCGACGTACGAGAAACTGGCTTCTTCACAGCAACTTCATCTTCAACGCTACTACTAGAACTGGAAGAACTTTCCGAAGTGCAACTAGGAGATCTTCGATCGCGTTGCTCAACTTCGATACTCCTCTGCAGCTTTTGCGGATGATACGATATGCAACTGGAGAGGTTCTCGGAGACTTCCGTAGCTTCTGAATTACCGCCGCATATGGAAGACTCGGATTCGGCGGAGCTACAACTGTTGCTGCGTTTCGTTAACTTCTTCAGTTTACCTTCAGGGTTCATGTTCAAAACGGATTTGCGGAAATCCTTGTTCGTCGGTATTTTGCTCTCGGGTTTGGGTATTTGGGGCGGCAGTTTCTTTGGTGGTGAAGCTTTGGATTTCAAGGAGTGCGATGAATTCGAGCGACTTTTAAGTTCTTTGGTGCGTAAATCGGATTTGGATGAGGAACGACTCAGGCTTTTCGCCGAGCTGTTCCTCGAAATACTTTTCTTGTCGCTTCCCTCGCTTTGACTGGATTCGGATTCTTTGGGTTTCGCATCACCTGGTGAGTATTTCAAGTCGAGGTACGATGCCCACGGCGTTGGAGTTATCCTGCTCGCTCCTGCGAATCTTGAGCTTTTCGTGGAATCGTCGAGACGATCCGATTGGACTTCTTTGTCAGAAGTTTCCTTGCGTTTCACCGGACGCTTGATTTGTTTCTCCATCAATCTGGCCATCTCGACGCGACGCGAACGCAGATACGAGGTTTGAGCGCTCGGCGGATTCGGCGATGTGCTTCTCGAGATGACGGTGACCGTTTCGTAGTCTTGGACTTCATCCGGAGTTTTTTTTTTCGGCTCGATTTTAGGAAAGTCTTCAGGTGCAATCGATGAAGCCCTACTAACTGGCCGACTAGTCCTATCATCCTGCTGCGCGCTCAGCACGTTCAGCAACTCCCTGTTCTTCAAACTCACCTCCCTGGTGCGTGTGGTCGATGGTCTGATGTACGCTGTGTGGCTCTTCTCGATCGTGTTCTTCGGCAGGAAGCGACTCGTGATGTACTTTTGCGTCGGTGTGGTCGTCGTCGTCTTCGTCAAATCCTCTCGAGAAGTTGCAGCTTTCGGCTTAAACCTGGACGCAGTCTCCTCCTTCGTTTTGTACCTGGACGCGGCCTCCTCTTTGGGCTTGTACCTCAGCAGGTCCTCCTTCAACTTAAACTTGCCGTAATCCTCTTTCGGTTTACCAAAGCGCGCTGTCAAAAGATCTTCCTTAGTTTCGGGCGGCTTGTACTTGGCCAACGACAAATCCTCCCGCGACGAATTCCTCGACGTCGGATACTTGTAATCCTCTTTCGTCAGGGACGTCCTTCCCGTGTACTTGGGTATCGTCGTCGTCGAAGAACTCGTTGAATCGGTGCGCTCTCTACTCACCGATCTCGTCGTGTACGATGATGGCCTCGGATACAATCTGTTAAAGTTGTAAGGAGACTCAGTCTTATCTGGACTAGGATCCCTCGATCTACTCCTCTCCACTGTGCTGCCTCTGATTAACGGTCTGTACGTAACAGGCGGATGGCTTTCCTTCTTTTCCACAGGAGATCTGATCCTCGACGTCAGCTCGGCTCTTGAACCTTGACAAAATACGCATACAATTAATTCAAAATTTGATCATTATAGCAAACACTCACTCGAGGACGGTTCTCTCTGGTAGCTGCCGTAGGTAGAGTACTTTGTGCTCGTTGCTGGGCTTTTATCCTCGCTCTTCTTGGCATCGGTCCGCGACGATTTCGCGTATGGAGATTCATACTGAAATTATATCCGAATGCTTAGGCTGTCTCACGTGTAACCGAATACCTCTCATTTAATTATAGACGCGATTATTTTTAATTGATCGATTCGCTAACGAATTGTGAACGAATCGTTTACAACTCACTTTGCTCGTCGTCGTCGATGCTGATGATGATTGTCCGCCGATGCTCGGTGATTCCTTCTTCGCAGAAGACGACGACGAAGATGAGTAGCTCGCACTGTTTTTATTCCAAGGCACCTAAAAATAACAAACAAACAAACAAACATTACAGCATCGTTGTTATGGTGACACACGAAACAAAATAGCAACGTGAAATACGTGCGACTCAAAATGACTCAAATTATGACCAAATCAAACATTGAATATAAAAGTATTTATTTAATATATTACGAAACATTCTAAAAAAAGATTTCTAATCATAAATCAATATTCATAAATATGTAAAGTTTATAATTAATTTCATTAGAAAAGTTATAAAATCATTATAAATTATGTTCAAAACAAATTTGAATTTTTTGTTTGTTTATATTCTGCTTTTTCTACAAATATTGTTATAAATATTAATAATATTGAATGAATATAGGCAACTTCAACAACGAATATTTAAAATTTACAAGTATCTTACTCATATTCATACAAATATTTAAGATAATATATAAATAATATCTTTAATTGTTCTATTTTTACTATATTTGTAATTAATAAACAAATGAAGAAAGTAAATCATTTATTTGGGCGCAAACGTATGCAACCAAATTTGCGTAATCGTTTGAATAAACGTCTTGAGGATATTCGCAATTGAAACCGGAATCGTTTCTGCAGTCGCATAAAAGTCAACAATATCGAACATTATTATAAAAAAGATTTCTAATCATAAATCAATATTCATAAATATGTAAAGTTTATAATTAATTTCATTAGAAAAGTTATAAAATCATTATAAATTATGTTCAAAACAAATTTGAATTTTAAATTTTTTGTTTATATTCTGCATTTTTTACAAATATTGCAATAAACTTTAATAATATTGAGTCAATATAGGCAACTTCAACAACGAATATTTAAAATTTACAAGTATCTTACTCATATTCATACAAATATTTAAGATAATATATAAATAATATCTTTAATTGTTGCTATGTTTTACTATATTTGTAATTAATAAACAAATGAAGAAAGTAAATCATTTCATTGGGCGCAAACGTATGCAACCAAATTTGCGTAATCGTTTGAATAAACGTCTTGAGGATATTGAAACCGGAATCGTTTCTGCAGTCGCAGAAAAGTCAACATTATCGAACCAGTTCCGAGCGTCGAGTTACGTAACAATTCCTTTGCCGCTTCGGATTCTTTTGCAAACCGCTAAAATTTCCATCCGGCAGGTTGCGCAACGCCATCTCGGATTCCACGAAAGTCGAGTGAAATAAAATTATTTTCTGAATTTATCGTCGCCGCTTTCTTGTTTCTTTATTTGTTTGTTTTAATTAACAGGTAGAAACCGAAAATGTAATAAAAACCCGCTTAGCATTCGCATCTGGGATGAATGAACAAAAAAAAAAACAAGTAAAAACCCGGCGGGTGAAAGCGAAGAAGTGCAGCAATTCACATCGATACAGACTTGAAAATAAATAAAGAAGAGCGTAGCAAAGGTCACTGCTGCGTTACGCAATTGTTTAAAATTCAAATTTCCCGCCGCTTCGTTGGATACAAATGAAATGATTTCAAATCCGAAACACACGTAATCACACGCATTCTTTTGCGCAATGCATTTAATTTGTAACCATGAGACGAGATGTGTTTTTAAAAAAAGGAAATCGAAGTTGCTTTTTCAATTAGCAATTGTTTGGAAGTGAACAATTGCAAATTGGCGCACTTTGCAATGTTTCAAGCGAACGCAACGGAAATGCAAATGTTAAACAGTTGAAATTCAAATGTGAATTCGGTTTAATTTTAAACTTTTTTTTAAGTGTTAATTAGTAACGCCACGCGTTTCTATTATTTACTGGAGCATTTCTACAACGAAAGTAATTGCAGTAAACAATAATTCAATTTTATATGTTTTTTTTTTAACTAATTAATATAGAAATGTGTTATAGCAAGTCATGTAGTTTGTTATGATTTAATAATCGTGTATGTTTCGCAAGATATTTCACACCAAAAGAAAAAGAAAAAAAAAACGATTTGTTACGATTTGAAATGTTATCTAATCGAATCTGTGGAATATTTATAATAATTTATTTAATTGGTTTCAACTGAAATAAGACTTACGTAAACTTTAGAGTAACGAAATCGTAATTTCGTTATTAAACTAATTTGGAAAATTGGAAAATATTAAACTTAACTAATAGTTATGTAAAGTTTACGAAAGAAAGCATAATTTTCTTATTAAACTTATTTAGAAATATTGCAATTTCCTAAAATTGTTATGCAACTTTAACTTAACGTAACCATATGGTTCTTTCAATTTAACTAGTTGATTATAATTTATACAACAATTATAACAAATTATTAGAATAGAAATTTCGGTTTTTCTTCATTTAATAACTGATTACTGAGGAAATGCGGATATTATTGGTAATGAACCAATGATTGCGAAATCGAATTTCTCGTTTGGAAGTCGAAGTTCAGAACTGAAGATGAATGCATTCACTTCGGGAGAAAACGATTTTACATAACGTGCACGGATCGAAGGCGGTTCGGTTCCATTCGATTTGTCTCAAACAAAAATTTTGGACCGAATCGAAATCTGCGTGGCCTTGAGATACGAAACAAGTGACTAAAATAATTTCTAAAACAACAAAAAAATATAAAGAATCTTATGATGTTTCCATAATTTAAACAGTAATTAATAATGAAAAAAAAAACTACTTAAAATTTCTTTTTGTATAGATTGAAAGTAATTAACTAATCAATCTTTACGATTATTAATTATTAAGTGATTTTTTTTGGCATATGTATAAAAACAATTTGTACGTACATGTTGTATGAAAAGAAGTGCGTGATATTGAATGAGGTGGGTTCGGTTCTGACTGCTCGTTGATCTCTTTCACTTTGGTGAAATTTGCGCGCAATGCGTGAGCATACGGATGTGTGTGTTTGTGTGTGGAGGGATGGATGTCTTTCTTCCGATTTTACGCAATCGAGAGCGGGTTTTCAACTACTACTACTACTACTAAAACCCATACACATACCCATTATTACGAGCAGTGGCATATTTTTTTTTTGATGATAGATATGTAATCAAGAGAAGAAGGAAGGAAGGTAGTAAGAGAGTGAGAGATGATGGTAGGAGTTGGCCCGAAATCGCGTATAAAAGCACCGGCACTTCTTCGACACAACATCAGAAACGCAGATTTAGTCTTCTGTGACACACCACCAACCGGATCAACACCAAAAATCATCTAACATGGCATCAATTCAGTCAGTGGTACGTAAACTGCAAACCCACATTTCCATTCAACTCACTTTTGAAAGACATCAGTTTTTATAATTTTTAATCTTCTTTTCCAGTTGGTTTTACTCGCCTGCTTCATCGCAATCGTCGCCTGCGCCCCAGGAGGTTACGGTGGTCACCAGTAAGTTTAACACTTCTTCATTCAAATTATCAAATCAAATCAATAATATAAATGCAATAACTTCAAAAATTTTCAATGAAATAATTCCAATTATTTCAATTAATTTCAAATTATTTCAATTAATTTCCTTTTTACTTCAAGTTTGCAATGAAATCAACAGTAAAAATCCAATAATTTACTTACAAACAATATTTTTTTTAATGAAATCAAGAAAAATCTATCATTTCAATTACAATTCTTTTACTTACAAACACTACAATTTTCCAATCAAATCAATAATTTAAATGCAATAACTTCAAAAGTTTTCAATGAAATAATTCCAATTATTTCAATTAATTTCCTTTTTACTACGAGTTTGCAATGAAATCAACAGTAAAAATCCAATAATTTACTTACAATCAAATTTTTAATGAAATCAAGAAAAATCTATAATTTCAATTACAATTCTTTTACTTACAAACATTACAATTTTGCAATCAATTCGACAATAAAAATCCAATGATTTTAAGTATATTTCTTTAAGTTTAGCCATTCATAATTTTCAATTAATTTCCTTTTTAATTCAAGTTTGCAATGAAATCAACAAGATAAATTCAATAATTTATCTACAAACAATATTTTTTTTAATGAAATCAAGAAAAATCTATAATTTCAATTACAATTCTTTTACTTACAAACATATTTTTTTAATGAAATCAACAATAAAAATCCAATGATTTCAAGTATATTTCTTTAAGTTTAGCCATTCATAATTTTCAATTAATTTCCTTTTTAATTCAAGTTTGCAATGAAATCAACAAGATAAATTCAATAATTTACTTACAAACAATCATTTTTTAATGAAAACAAGAAAAATCTATAATTTCAATTACAATTCTTTTACTTACAAACACTACAATTTTCCAATCAAATCAATAATTTAAATGCAATAACTTCAGAAGTTTTCAATGAAATAATTCCAATTATTTCAACCAATTTCACCAATCACCAATAATTTACTTACAAACAATCAAATTTTTAATGAAATCAACAATAAAAATCCAATAATTTCAAGTATATTTCTTTAAGTTCAGCCATTCATAATTTTCAATTCATTTCAAATTATTTCAATTAATTTCCTTTTTACCTCAAGTTTGCAATGAAATCAACAGTAAAAATCCAATAATTTACTTACAAACAATCAAATTTTTAATGAAATCAAGAAAAAAATCTACAATTCTTTTAGTTACAAACATACAATTTTTTAATGAAATCAACAATAAAAATCCAATGATTTCAAGTATATTTATTATTTCAATTAATTTCCTTTTTACCTCAAGTTTGCAATGAAATCAACAAGATAAATTCAATAATTTACTTACAAACAATCAATTTTTTAATGAAATCAAGAAAAAATCTACAACTAAAAGATAGTTACAAACATACAAAAATCCAATAATTTCATGTATGTTTCTTTAACTTCAAACATTCATAATTTTCAATGAAATCGAATAAGGAAATCCAATAATTTCGAATTATTTTATTTTACTTGAAACATTCCAAAGAAACCAAAAAATTCTCATAAATAATGCAACTTTTGTTCTAAATCACTGTAGAAAGTAATGATTTACAATTTGCTATCAATTAATATTCAAAAACAGCACCCGAAATTAATAAATAATT